TTGGTCACAGGCCAAGGCGAATTTATGACTTTCTTTGTGTTAGGGGGAAATGATGTCCTGAGCTGATCCCATACAGGCTTTGTGGACCCCACCCCCACTCCAGACTAAAGCCATCAAGACATTGGGAAAGACAAATCCCATCACCACCAAGGGAGGATAGCTGGGACCTGAGGGTGGAGTTGGGCAGCCAGGTTGGATATAAAAACCAAACACGTGGGCCTTGGGGTGGCTGGCTCGCGATTGCTCGCCTCCTGGCTTCACCGCTCCTGGCTGGCGGCCAACTCTGAGAGCGCCATTTTGGGATTCCTGATCGGCGGATCGGGTAGGACTCATTTAAAACTTTGTCTCCCACTTTTCTCCCAGAGCTGTACATTTCCTCATTTCCCCTTCCCTTGTAAACAAACCTTTTATTAACCTTTCGCGTGTGCCTGCAGTAGAGCATTGATAAGTCCTTTTAAGCACAGGTGAGGACCCACAGTCAGGCACCCCGTTTTGTATCGGGGTTGTTCTACAACAGTTGCACTGGTCTGGAAGAATGTTGCTCCCAAGTAGAAAGCACAGGGAAATAATAAGGGTGAAAACCTTTCCCCCAGGGGCAAGGGTGGGCATTATTAATATTATCAAGGATGCCCCCAGGATGAACAATTCCTGAATTTGAACTCTCAGTAGATTCTCAGCAGGCTAACATGTGTACAAGACTCTTAGCTAATCTGAGACCTGAGTTTTCTTATCTGTAAAATGAAGATAATATTTAATTCCCTGGGTTGCTGTGAGGATTAAATGAGATAAACGAGAAATGTTCAACACCCTGCCTGACTCATCAAAGGTGCTCACAAACCGTGTAACTCATTGAGCAAAACACCTTCCTTCAACAAATGTTATTGCTAGGTAAAATGCTAGGAAACCAGGATGGACAAAACAGGGCAGACCCTGCCTCGGGGAACTTACAGACTAGTGGGGCGGACAGATAGTCACCATATAATCATGTGAATAAAGAATTTCAAAGTGTGCTAAATGCAGAGAGGGAAAAGTTCAAAGATCAAAGAGAGCACCTAACCAGGGATATCTGAACTAGTCACTTTTTAACCCAGGGGAGGTGACTACAGACATGAAGGGACGTTTCCATTCTTCCTATACTGATACATGGAGGATCCATCACAGTTCAATATGCTGAGCATTTTGCAAACCTTTCATCAGATGCTAGCAGAGAGCAAGACACTCATTTTACAGAAGTGGAAAGAAAGGTGCAGAGAGCTTATAGAACTTCCTAAGGCCAGCTCATTGATAGCAAATCCAGAGGTCAGATGAAACCCAGAACTTTTGCTTCCACACCTATTGCCTTTCACTATATCACTTTTTTTTTTTTAATTCTGAAACAAAGCATACTTTCTTTTTCTTTTTCTAAAAAGTTGAAACAGGGCCTCCCCGGTGGCGCAGCGGTTGAGCGCTGGGTTACGAAGCTGCCCGCGGCCTCTGCGGCGCCGGTTCGATCCCCGGCTGCTCCCCGGCCACCTGAGGAGGGTCCCACATGGCGCGCAGACCTCTCCTGCCGCCCGCTGCTCCCCTCAGCAGTGTACTTCGGTCCTTCTGCCTGCTCTGCTCCCCGCTCTGGCTCTGGTGGATTCTCTCACCCTCCCGCGCTTCTGACTGTACCCAGTGCATGTGTAAACAGAACAAACAAACAAAACAAATAAATAAAGAAATAAACATGCCTCTATTAAAAAAAAAAAAAGTTGAAACATAACTTACTAACACTAAAAGGTGGGAATAAAGAACCACTCCAACTAGCCACTACTCAGCTCAAGGAATAATATTTAACATAGCTCACAGGTCCCCCTCTGTTATCTCTCCCCAGATGTAACCCCTATCCTAAATTTTGTTTGTCATTCTCTTACCTTTCAGAGATTTTTTTTGTTTCTGTTTTTTAACATTTATGCATCTCAATAATGTATTGCTGCTTTGCCCTGGGTTGAACCTCATATAAATGGCATCTTAGTTTATATATCCCTCTCTAACTTGCTTCTTACTTCCAACATTTTGTTTTGGAGATTATCCATATTGATGATGCTTATAACTCACTTTCACAGATACATAATATTCCACTGTGTGGTTATATTACCATTTATTTTTGTATTTCCCTGTTAACTAACATGGATTATTTTCAGTGTCTAGCTGTTATGCTTATTCTTTTTTCAAAGGACAATAAACAGATTTTTCTTTATATAAAATTGTTTCCAAGATGTTAAGTTTGTGAATTTAAATTTCAGTGCCTGCATCATACGTTAATTAAAATGTAGTTAAAATATAATTAAAATTTAATTCTCCTAACATTCTTATTTGCTATTTATTATTATCTTCAGGTGAAAACTATTTTATAGGCAATAAAACTGAGTTTCCTAGAAATCATTCAATTCACCCAAGGTCATTAGGAGAGCCACCATTGCAACTCAGCCCAATTCTAAAGTTTGAGTTTCTTCCAGTTCACTCCAAGCCTTAATACTGTATTACGCAGTACTAAGAGCCAAATAGAATGATGTACTATGTGATCTATATATGGATCTATTGTATACTTTATATATTTTTTTTTTTTTAAAGATGACTCATAGAAGCGCGGGAGGGTGAGAGAATATGCTGATCTGCGCGCCATGTGGGACCCTAGCAGCCGGGATCGAACTGCAGAGGCTTATAACCGCTTTTTAATTTTTAATTGTAGTAAAGTGCACATAACAAAATTTACCACCCTAATCATTTTGAAGTACACAGATGAGTAGTGTTCAGTAAATTCACAGCTGTGTAAGCAACCTCCAGGATTCTTACAATTATTTTGTACATCTTATGGGGTACATGTGCAACAGTTTTTCTAGGCCATGGCCTTTGGGGAGAATTGCTAGGGATCCACCTGTGGGTAGAATTGCATGGGTTTCATTAGTTAAGGCTAAAGACTCTTTTCCAAGATGGTCACACCAGCTAATACTCCCATAGGCAATTACTTTTAGGTAATTAAAACATCAAATGCTAAAAAAAAATAAAATAAAATAAGGCCCAAATGTTGAAGGAACAAAGAAGAGAACACAACGAAAAATCTCCTGTTCCCTCACCACCTCATCCCCTCCCCAGATACAGTCACTATTACCAGTTTTTGGTGATTAACCTTCCAGAAATATGCTATTGATATATATTTGTCCCTTTTTCAACAAATGGTGGTATTCTATGCATAGCATTCTGAAACTTGCTTGTTTCTCATTAAAAACCATAGACAATATAACCTTTGGAGCAGATTGCCTGGCTTCATAGACATCTCCATTCAAAATTGGCTGTGACCTTGATTAGGTCATTTAATCTTGCTGTACCTTTTACTCTTTACCTGTAAAACGTGGTAAAAAAAAAACTTAACTCATAAGATTTTTATAAGAAATTAGTTAATAAATATAAAACATTTAAAACTGTGGCTCTTAGGGCCTCCCCGGTGGCGCAGCGGTTGAGCGCTGGGTTGCGAAGCTGCCCGCGGCCTCTGCGGCGCCCGCCCGTTGGATCCCCGGCTGCTCCCGGCCACCGGAGGAGGGTCCCACATGGCGCGCAGACCTCTCCTGCCGCCCGCTGCTCCCCTCAGCAGTGTACTTTGGTCCTTCTGCCTGCTCTGCTCCCCGCTCTGGCTCTGGTGAATTCTCTCACCCTCCCGCGCTTCTGACTGACTGTACCCAGTGCTTGTATAAACAAACAAACAAATAAATAAATGAATGAATAAAATACATGCCTCTTTAAAAAAAAATAAAATAAAATAAAAAACTGTGGCTCTTAGAACTATAACATCAATTTTTTTCTCTCTTTTTGGTTGCCTGGTAATCTATTATATAAATGTACCACAATTTATGTTAATATTTGGTAAACATTTAAATACTTCCCGGAATGTTGCTATAAAAAAAAAAGTACAGCAATAAGTAACATATCGCTTTGCACTTAAACTGTGAGTGCATCTGTAGGATAAAGTCCTACAATTGGAACTGTTAAGTCAAAGACATTATGTGCAGTCATAATTTTAAGCTGTTGGCAAACTGCCTTCAGAGATACATCACGGAGTCTCATATATTAATTTAAAGAGATAGAGAAACTTTGGAAGAGCTCTGGGTAAGATACTTTACCATCCACATGAGTCAGCTAATGCCGGGACAGGGAAAGTGAGAAGTGTAGTTGTGGAGGCAGAACCCACGCGGGTGTCTGGACCTGAAATCCATTTTAACATTTCGTTGCTTTTAGATGCTGCAGTTTGCTTATTTATTTTATTTTATTTTTTAAAGATTTATTTATTTATACAAGCACTGGGTACAGTCAGAAGAGCGGGAGGGTGTGAGAATTCACCGGAGACAGAGCGGGGAGCAGAGCAGGCAGAAGGACCGAGGTACACTGCTGAGGGGAGCAGCGGGCGGCAGGAGAGGTCTGTGCGCCATGTGGGACCCTCCGCGGGTGGCCGGGGAGCAGCCGGGGAGCAGCCGGGGATCGAACCGGCACTGCAGAGGCTGCGGGCAGCTTCGCAACCCAGCGCTCAACCGCTGCGCCACCGGGGAGGCCCCAGTTTGCTTATTTAAAAGTATCAACCTAATATATAATTTCTCATTATTTCTTATTCTTTCCACGGGCTATTTATTGTGCGCTGTTCAGTGACCCCTGGGCAATGCAGACCCGTGTGAGGTTTGCCAAGCGGCAGATCTGTTTTCCAAAATGCTGCACTTAGTACATTGCCTCTAGGGGAGCAAAGTTTCGCCAGTCACGCCCAAGAGATCATTTAGATTACAGGGGAACGAACCTTCGCTCTCGTTCTGTAACCTCGCCTGGACCGGTTGCGCAAACTGGCGGCCGCGAGCAGGACTCGGCCCTTTCAGCCCACAGGAAGCCCGCCTCCTGGGGCCGAGCCGTCATTGGAGGAAGCGGCTGTCACTCACCGGGGCTATAAAACCGCGGAGCCGGCGGCTCTCCCCTCAGGAGGCCCCAGAGCGCGCGGCGCGACTCGAGCCCGGGCGGGGGGACTCTGCGGGAAGCCGGGCTGTTCCTCCGCGGAGAAGAGGGGGGCTCCCTCTCCTCACCTCTCTTCCCCTCCCTGCCGGGCAGGCGCGATGGCGGAAGCCGCGGCGACCGGCGCTGGCGGCGAGGCGATGGCGGCGGCGGAAGGCTCCCTGGGCGCCGCGGGCTTGTCTCTCGGCCGCAGCTTCTCCGGCTACCGGCCCTTCGAGCCCCAGGCGCTGGGCCTCAGCCCGAGCTGGCGGTTGACGGGCTTCTCCGGCATGAAGGGCTGAGGCTGCAAGGTCCCCCAGGAGACGCTGCTCAAACTCCTGGCGGGACTGACGCGGCCCGACCCGCGGCCCCCGCTGGGCCGGGGCCTGGTGGGAGGCCATGAAGAGGCCGCCCAGGAAGCCGGGCTGCCGGCCGGCGCGGAACCCAGCCCAACCTTTCCAGCCTTGGGCATCGGGTTGGACTCCTGTGTCATTCCCCTGCGGCACGGGGGCCTGTCGCTGGTCCAGACCACGGACTTCTTTTACCCCTTGGTGGAAGATCCCTACATGATGGGGCGCATCGCCTGTGCCAATGTGCTGAGCGACCTGTATGCCCTGGGCATCACTGAGTGCGACAACATGTTGATGTTACTCAGCGTCAGCCAGAGTATGACTGAGGAGGAACGAGAAAAGGTAACACCGCTCATGATCAAAGGCTTTCGGGATGCTGCTGAGGAAGGAGGAACGGCAGTAACTGGTGGGCAAACAGTGGTAAACCCTTGGATTATCGTCGGTGGAGTTGCCACTGTGGTATGTCAGCCAAATGAGTTCATAATGCCTGACAGTGCCGTTGTTGGGGATGTGCTGGTGTTAACCAAACCCTTAGGAACTCAGGTTGCTGTCAATGCCCACCAATGGCTGGATAATCCTGAAAGGTGGAATAAGATCAAGATGGTGGTCTCCAAAGAAGAGGTAGAGCTGGCCTATCAGGAGGCCATGTTCAACATGGCTACCCTAAACAGAACTGCTGCAGGGCTAATGCACACGTTTAATGCCCATGCAGCCACAGATATCACAGGCTTTGGCATTCTAGGACACTCTCAGAATCTCGCAAAACAACAAAGAAATGAAGTGTCTTTTGTCATTCATAATCTGCCAATCATAGCCAAGATGGCTGCTATCAGCAAAGCCAGTGGGCGCTTTGGCCTCCTTCAAGGAACCTCAGCAGAAACTTCGGGGGGATTACTGATTTGTCTGCCGAGAGAACAAGCAGCTCGCTTTTGTTCTGAAATCAAATCTTCCAAGTACGGAGAGGGCCACCAAGCATGGATCGTCGGCATTGTGGAAAAGGGAAACCGAACTGCCAGGATTATCGACAAGCCTCGAGTTATTGAAGTCCTACCTCGTGGGGCCACTGCTACTGCTCTTGCTCCTGACAATTCTAATGCCTCCTCTGAGCCTAGTTCATGAGATGGAATAGAAGAGGAAGTCTGGACTTCAGAGCTGTTGTGCACAATCATGAAGGATCCTCAAAAGTTGAATTTAAGAAGTTTCCAAAGAAGGCTGCCTGCATAGTAATTCCAGCTGCCCTTTACAGGTGATTTGAATCAGCCCATCAAAAGCTGCACATTCCAAGATCAGAAGTAACGATTTGGACTGGGGTGGGGTGGGGGGTGTTCATCTCTTGCATAGAAGAGGAGCAGAAAAACCTGTTGCCTCTTTCTAAGAGCAAGATGGGCCTATTCAGGTTTGAGGGTTTTTTTTCTTGGCACTGAGTTGATTCATTTCTGCACAGGGAGTGAGGTTGTTAAAATTACATATACACAAAAAAATAAATTCTAAAATGAAAAAGTTTAGATCAGAAGCAAATAAGTTTGGACCAATATTGTTGATAAATCTAAATTGTTAAGAGAGATCTTATAATGCAATGTCAATTCTTCATTAGATTTTTCTGAAATGTCTCTTTCTTGCTCTGGACAAGAATTGAGCAGCTTGTCCAATGACTGGGAAAGGAAGACCTGTAACCATCTGACTTGGCCTCTGTTAATGATGTCTCTCCTACTAAACCCCTTTAAGGACTGGGAGAGGCAGAGCAAGCCCCAGAGTCCAGGCCTTAATGGTCATTAATATGTTAAATCTTGTGATGAAAATTCCTCGTGATTTAACCAATAAAAGAGTAATTTCCAGTAAAATAAAAAGGATTTGTTGAAAAATTCTTCTGGTAAATGTGTGGATCCTTGGGATTCTGAATCTTTTACGTGCTCACAGAATAAATCAGTTAATACATTTGAGTCTGGCAAAGTGGAGAGTCAGTGTTTTCCCTGATCTCAGAGCAGGGGATTTAACACACACATTTAGAGTGGCACCTTCTCCCTAAGTTTACAGCAAAGGACTCAAAACACGAATAAACCCCAAGGACTAAAGGGTGGGAGAGTATTAATAGCAAAGGAAAGGCGTCAGCAATTCCTGGGAGATGGGGAGTAGGTAAAAGAGGAGTAACCGACAGCAGACTAGAGGAACCCAAATTGTCAATGCCTTCAGAGTTGGGGAATACTAACAAGAAGCAAGGAGCTATGTTCCAGTGTGCTGGGATGGTGGCATCAAAGGTCAAGGGTGGGGATAAAAACATACTGGGTGAAAGTTCATACACAGGGTAATCAGATCTTTGAAGTTCTTGAACCTTTCCATGTCACACAGCCAGATGACTGCCTCTCACCTCTGTAGGTACTCCAGAGTTAGGGACACCAAGCCCAATGAGAAAGGAATGGGACTAAAAACAGGAGAGTTAAAACTGAAAGAGAGACTGCCCAGGCCCTTCCACAGCCTAGCAATTAAGAACACTGTCCAGGAAGCTTCCACGGCCCATCTCTGATTCAACTGGGAGTTAACCAGTCCTCTGGAGAAGCATTCCCAGAAAGGAGACCTATAATATAAACATTTCAGGAGCTCCTAGTGAGACTGCACACTCGGAAACCTCCCAGATGAAAAGCCTCACTCAAGCATATTATTAAGCTTTTTAATGCCTCATTCTTAAATATGAGCAGTCAAGGATCTCCAGACTTTGAGGCAAACCTCCCAACCTGAGAGAAGCTAAAGCAAACGGAAAAATCAAGAGAAAGGAGACACTACAGGGAAAAAAAAAGTTCATAAAAAGACAATAAACAAAGCACTTAGGAAATAAAAATAGGGCCTCCTTGGTGGCGCAGGTGTTAAAGACACAGTGCTAACAAGCTATCAAGAACCACTGCAATATGAGTTTGATCCCCGGCCAGGGAGCTACCCACATGGCGCAGCAGACCTCTCCTGTCTTGCCCATTGCTCCCCTCAGCAGTGTATTTCGGTAGTTCCTCCTGTTCTGCTCCCCACTCTGTCTCTGGTGAATCCTCTCACTGTCCCCCGCCCACACACCTCTAGCCCACACCCCAGTTCTTGTATGCATAAATAGATAAATCTTTTTTAAAAATAAAAATATATTTTTCAGTAGAAGACTTAGAAAGTTGAGGATATTTATCAGAAAATTGAATCCAAAATGTACAATAGGAGAAAAAATGAAAATCAGAGATGAGTCAGGAGTTTCAGCCTCGAAGAAGCATTCCAGAAAGAGGCAATAAAGCAGATGGAAGAAAGAAAATTAGCAAATAATAATACAAGAAAGTTTTCTAAAATATAACGTTTGTCTTAGAAACCTCTTGAATTCCCAGCATAGTGAATGAAAAATGATCTACATACCTAGTAACAGAAAATATTTACATGATAAATTCTCTTAGCCAAGGCACTTCTAAGTGTTTTATATGTATTAACTCATTTAAACATTCAGCAATTCCAATTTGCAAATGAAGAGGCCTCTGAGGTACAGGGAGACTAAGAAATAATGTTGCACAGTCTCCTAGGCAGTCTGCCTCCAGAGTCTCTAATCTCTATGCTCTCCTTAAATCTTGGGGGAGAGGAAGATCACATACAAAGCTTTCAAGATAAGAATGCTACCAGTCCTCTCAATGGCAAATTGGAAGCTAAAAGACAATGAAGCAATGCCTTCAAAATTCCAAGGGTAAAAGGTTTTCTACAGAAAATTCTAAACCTGACTACATTTTTCAAATAAAGGTATCAAGGTATCAAAGTGGCTTCATCTTTGTACTCTTTCGCAAGAGACTACTGGAAAATGTAGTTCAGGAAAACAAGGGAGCAAGCCAAGAGGAAAACATGGGGTCTGCAAACTCAACCCAGTACAGGAGAAGGTGAAGGAGGTCTCAAGGGAACAGCTACATAGGAGTCCTAGAGAACAATCAGGTCCACTCTAGACAGAGTCTGTGAGGCTTCCAGGAAAGGGAAAATTGGATAGTCTTGATACATTGAATTGTGTGAAAAAATTGATGAAAATATGTAAAATGAATGATAATAACATAGAAAATTAGCAAATGAAAAAAGAGCATTTATCAAAACTCCAGCCAAAAATTAACCTTGTATAACAAATGAAACAAAATCATACAGTATTATGCAACAAATATTTACTTAGTTAATATAAATACTATCCAAATAATGGCAAGTCAATCAGTTTTGCTCCTGCTCAAAGTTCTTAAATAGATTTTCACAAAACTTCTGCTACATATCACCAATTTCATCATATGGCACTCTCCCTACCCCTCTCAATAAACTCTTGCTCATTAGCCTTTCTACTCCATGTCGAACAAATCAAAACCCTTTGTGTTTGTGCCCTTTGTCTGGCACCTCAATCAGGCTCTCCACTTAGCTGGCACACACTCAGTCTCAGTCCTGTCTCAGTTCAAATTAAACCTCTTCATAAAAGTCCTCTCTGACCTTAGCCAATACGTAGCAACTCTCCAACTCATCACCCTGTATATATTGACTTCACAGCTTGCCTAAACTGTAATTATCTTGAGACTGTATTAGTTTACTCTATAATTGTCCCTTTCTGCTAGCAGAACACGTCAAGGTGGCAGGGGATGTTGTGTCTCCATGACCTACAAGTATCTGGTCCATAGTTATGCTCAGAATATATGGCATGAATGAGGGAGGTCCCCCTGGGGGGCCTAGCACTATATTCACACATTCCTTGTTCTTGGTGTCTCCTAGTGGTGGAAGCTGGTAGTACCAATCCCTGAAGACCAGACTGGAGGAGAAATCTGTGCCTTGGACCTGGCTGCTTGCTTACACATTTCTCTAGCTGGTTCATTTTTTAACTCGGGGCAGGCATTTTAAAAGGGGAGAAAAATGATTGGATGCTTCCCTGTCTTGGGTTCTCTTAATTTACCTAAAAACAAGAGTTGAGATCAAGGTCAACATCCAAGTTTTCTTTGGAGAGGAGCTGGCAGCAAAAGGGACGTACTAGCAGGTGGAGATACAAAGCTTTGGGTAAAAATCAGAACAGAATCACAGGCACAAACAGAGGTAAGAAAAGCATTGGAGGAATGGGCCTCCCTGGTGGTGCAAGGGGTTAAGTCTCAACACTATGAAGCTATCAGCAGCCACTGCAGCATGAGTTCAATCCCCAGCCAGGGAGCTGACCCACATGGCACAGCAGACCTCTCCTTTCTCACCCACTTCTCCCCTCAGCAGTGTATTTCAATACCCTCAGCAGTGTATTTCAATAGATTCACCTGTTCTGCTCCCCTCTCTGTCTCTGATGAATCCTCTCGCCCTCCATACCTCTGACTTACACCCCAGTTCTTCTACGCATAAATAAACAAAATAAATGTTAAAAAAACAAAACAGCAACGTGTGTGGATCTACCTCCAATAAGAACAGCACTGTGGAAGATGCTGGGGATGCAGCCATGAACACAATACATATTGTTCCAGTCATCTCAGAAAACACATCAAGGGTCCTTGGAGACCACTTGGGCCAATAAGAAATCTTCCCAAGGAATGGTGGATAGGTTCCCAATCACCTAGCTCCTAGCTTCCCAGCACACACTATTGTCTCTGGACCACTGACTGGCCCAGGTTTCCCCATCCCAACACCACCCACCGAACTGACAGGCCCCAGTTACTTTGTTCTCCAGCCACTGCTGCCTCATCCACTCAGGGTTTTCCAAGCACCCTTACTGGGACCAGTCATATTAGCTTGGCTCTAGTGGGGGAAGGTGCCAAACTCTTGAGTAGCAGAGGGCGTCTCTGTGCATTCACATTCCATGTCCATTTGTCTTGTCATGAAACATTTCTTAGCCTGCACTGAAACACCTTTGGTCTGAAAAGACCAGGAAACCCTGTCTTGGGAAATAGGTTTATAAAGGGATAGTCACAAGTATGAACCGAAAAACAAGACCAAGCACACTGAGTCCCTGATCAAAGCAGGGAGGTGGGGCTGCTGAGATGTGTCAGGACAATAAAGAAAATTGGATACGGGCATTGGAGGTGTGGGAAAAGCCTAGAATGAGGCATCCAGATGATGGGGCCAATCATATGTTCAGATCTGTTCCCCTCTCCCTCATGAGGGCCTCTTCTACTCCCTTAGCTCAGTGTTGTGGAGAGCTGAGTCAGGTTAGTCTTTAGAGGATGATGCCACAAAGCAAAGAACTAAGATGTCTCTGCAGGATGCTTTACAAGAGCTTTGAGCTCTGCCAGGGATCTGCTAGGGGGGGAGCAGGCAGTCCCAGAGAGTGCCTCCTCTTTCCTGTCAGTCCCCATGAACCATATGACCTGTGAGTTCTAGAAATCCTGGTCACTGACTGTTCAAAAATCTGAGATGCAGAACTCCTTAGAAAGTTGTTCTCCAGTGGTGTTTTATATTTCAGTAAAAGAGTTTTGGTTCCTGTCTGGAAAAGCTTAGCAAACACCAGGGAAGATGCTAGGGGAGGTGCTAGGCTCCTAAAAGTTCAGTTGCCCAGGCCATAAAGGCAGCCCAGTACTCTGAACTTCAGATCTGTATGTCCACCTGTCTCCAGACAGCATCTGGCTCTCCTAGAGGCAGCTGGGACTCAATATGTTCCAAACTAAATTCATCATCTTTTCTCCCACCCCAACTCCCAGCTATGTATGCCTTCATTTCAGCAAGTGGCCAAATTATGCATGCATTTACTCAAGTCAGAAATCCAGGAGTAGGGCCTCCCCGGTGGCACAGCAGTTGAGCGCTGGGTTGCAAAGCTGCCCGTAGCTTCTGCCGTGCGGGTTCAATCCCCGGCGGCTCCCCGGCCACCGGAGGAGGGTCCCACATGGCGCGCAGACCTCTCCTGCCGCCTGCTGCTCCCCTCAGCAGTGTGCTTCGGTCCTTCTGCCTGCTCTGCTCCCTGCTGTGGCTCTGGTGAATTCTCTCACCCTCCCGCGCTTCTGACTGTACCCAGTGCTTGTATGTATGTATGTATGTATGTATGTATGTATGTATGTATGTATCAATCAATAAATAAATAAATCTTAAAAAAAAAAAAAAGAAATCCAGGAGTGACCCAGAACTCCCTCATTTCTCCCATATCCAACTTTCATATTGCCTAACTCAGTGGTGAATTGCGTGTTCTCCTCTAATTTTACAGTTCACAGCCTCCCAATCAGATGTTCACTCTTTCTGGAACATGTTCCTCTCAGCCTCCATGTCACTACACTCTGCCAACTTTCCTCCTGCCTCACCTGCCTCTCCTCCACTCTACTACTAAATGTCGGAGTACTCTAAACCTTGGTCTATCTACCTGGATTCTTGTATTATTCTCCAATTCCATGACTTTAAATGACATACTGCAAAATCTGGATCTCTAGCCCTAATTTCTCCTCTAACCCTTAAGCTCATAAATCTACCTGCCAATTTGACGTGTTCAATCTTGCACCTCCTCCCCCTCATCCCAATAGGAGTCACCATCCATCCACCAAGTTGTCTGACATTCAAAACTTGTAAGTCAGGTTTGAATTTACCCTTCATCCCATCCTGCTACTTCAAAATCAACAAAGCCTATAGCTCTACGTCCAAAATACGTCTCCATACATTCAACTCCCTCCATCTTCAACCATCAGCCTGGCCCAAGTCCCCGTCTCTTTTGCTTGGACAAATGCAGTAATTCATCTCCCTGCTTCTACTCTTGTCCTCCTCCATTCATTCTTAAAACAGCAGCCAGCGGGGTCATAAATACAAAGTATGAACCTATGACTCCCCTGTCCAAAGCCCTTCAAATGGTTTCCATAATTCTTTTTTTTTAAATATTTTTATGTATTTGTTTATTTATTTATTTGTTTGTTTGTTTGTTTATACATGCACTGGGTACAGTCAGAAGCGCGGGAGGGTGAGAGAATTCACTAGAGCCAGAGCGGGGAGCAGAGCAGGCAGAAGGACAGAAGCACACAGCTGGGGGGAGCAGCGGGCGGCAGGAGAGGTCTGCGCGCCATGTGGGACCCTCCTCTGGTGGCCGGGGAGCAGCCGGGGATCGCACCGGCGCTCAACCGCTGCGCCACCAGGGAGGCCGTTTACTGGAATCTTTTTAAAGAAAAGACATATCCTTTCAGAATGCAGTCATAGTAGTAAACCAAATGGTAACAACAAAAATTATTCCAGGGGCCTCCCTGGTGGTGCAAGGGTTAAGACACAACCCGTGAAGCTGTCCGCAGCCTCTGCAGCATGAGTTCGATCCCTGGCCAGGGAGGTGACCCACATGGCGAGGCAGACCTCTCCTGCCGCCCGCTGCTCCCCTCAGCAGTGTACTTCGGTCCTTCTGCCTGTTCTGCTCCCCACTCTGTCTCTGGTGAATCCGCTCACCCTCCCGCGCCTCTGACCTGTACCTCAGCTCTTGTATAAAAATAAATAAATCTTAAAAAAATAAATAAATAGTATTTATGACCATCAGAGGCAATCCAGTGTAGGGGCCAATAACAAATTCTAGACCCAAACTGCCTGGATCTGAAACTTGACTAGCCATTGAGTTAAATCACTTAATCCTCGGTTTCCTTATCTGTAAAATGGGAATAATAATACTATCATCACCTACCTCATTGGGTTGTTGTCAGGATTAAATGAGTTGCTGTGGAGATTAAATATGTGAAGTGCTTGAAACAGCTACTCTAGGCCCAGCTCCTTGGCAAGGCCTCGCTGGAACCCGAAGGCATCCTGCGTCCTTCGGGCGTTCTTGGGTCCTGACAATTCCTCTCTCTTAAACCCTCCGCCGCTGGGGTTCTCCACTGAGCGACGCGCGCCCGCACCCCGCGACTTCGCTTTGGCGCCATCTGGCGCCCAACAAGAGCAGTGACGCGCCTGCGCCCGCCCGCCTTCTGCCTTTTTCGCGTTCCTCTGAGGGAATAATCTGGCAGCGACACCTTTAAGGCGCTTGACCAAAACCAAGAATTACCGGGTCCGGACTAGGTGCGCGCGCCTGAAGCTCTCTCAGATTGGTCCAATCTGGAAAGGGGGCGGGCTCTATGAAATTCCACGGAAGTAATTGGTCTTCCCTGCGGCGCCGCCGCGCTCGCTGGCGACTGTGATTGGCCAAGGGCTCCGGAGGCGGGCTGTCGCGGTGGGCGCGGGGATCTCCTGGGCAGTCCCGGGCGCGGCACCGCGGCCACAATGTCCGCGGCGGGCGGGGAGACTCGTGGGGACTCGCGGGAGGAGGGCGCTGCTGCCGCCGCGCCGTTCAGCTTCAGCCCGGAGCCCACGCTCGAGGATATGTAAGCCGCTCTTGCCCAGTCCGCGGGGGAGATCGCCGCCCTTCTCCCTTTTTCTGGGGAGGGTCCCTCCACGTGGGCTGGAAGAAAGCAGCGTCTGTTTCCGGGCCCTGCACTCCTGGCGCACCGGGGAGAACTTTGCAATCTCATCTGCAGAATGGGCTTGGCAGTGTATACCCGAGGCAGGGCAACGGCGATCCCCAGTGAGCAATAGTAGAATCACCCCTCAGCTCTGCCCAGGTGAAATACCGGAGTCGGATGCTGCTTCTGCCCGGCCTCTGCCTTCCAGGAGTGGGTGATAAGACGGGGCATATGCAGGACTGAGAGGTGGGAGACATTACTCCCTGCTGGAGGAAATCAAGGAAGGCTTCTTATGACGGATGCGCTCCTTGCTGTACCCTATAAAGCTTGGTAGAATTTAGATATGCCAGTATCCGTAGAGATACGGATATTCCCGGCGGAGGAAACTGCAGAAGCAGCAGCAGGAGGTGGAATAATGAAGAGGGTATTGTTAACTTTCGGTAGTTTGGGGTGTCTCTAGGGGCACACCCATTTTATAGATGAGAAAACCAGGTCCCCTAGAGAAGAAATGATTTGCTTAAGGCCATCCAAAGAATTAGGTGAATTCCTTTATTACATGCTGCCCCTCTTCCCCCTCCCCCATTAATAACACAGCAGGACCTGCCTGGGCCCTACCTCTCATCCTAATCTTGGGACCTGGGCTTTCTCCCCTTTCTCCTCTTCCAGCCGCCGTCTCCATGCAGAGTTTGCTGCTGAAAGAGACTGGGACCAGTTCCACCAGCCTCGGAACCTTCTCCTGGCCTTAGTAGGGGAAGTGGGAGAGCTGGCAGAGCTCTTGTGAGTAGACAGAACATTTCCTATCTCTGTGGTATGGAAGAAGGGAGGGTTTATTTGATCCTCAAATAAGAGGATTGCTTTAACTCTCTTCGCTCCCAAATTCTGTTCTGGTGCTGGGGATACCTAAATGACTGAATCTTCCTGGTCCTTTCAGGGATATGAACCCTGAAAGATAGAACAAGGGTTAGGAAGTCATGGAGTATGATTAGACAATCTGATCAGATCCGAGTGGTAGAATGACCCTTGTGTCTGCAGGGTGGATGGATCACCGAGCAAATTGGGGCAGGGGAGGCTACTAAGGAAACTGGTGCATATTAGGCAAGACCAGGGCAGTCACCATGGGATGGAGAAACTAAGGCACAGAGATGTGTGCCTGCTGTGTGCAAGCTGTTCATTCATGACGGGTTTATGAGTGTCATCTGGCTGCTAGGTCTTCTACCATCAAAGAATATGACCTTGAACAAGATAGTGCAAGGATACTGGCAATAAGTAGGCAAATTTGTTTGAAAAGATCTGCTGTTACAACAAGTTCTATGAAGAAAATAACACCAGGTGATGAAAAGGTAGCAAAGGGAGAAGGCTCTTCTGAGGAGGTGGCAGCCATGGGAAAATTCTAAGGGTGGAGAGGAGGGGGCGGAGCATTCCACGCAGGAGTTTTAAGTGCAAAGCTTTTATGCCAGGTCTGTTTGCAAGACACAAAGTGGCTTTAGATGGGGAGAGGGGAGAGTAGTAGACAAAGACAGGGGCAAGAATCAGCTCATGCAGAACCTGGAGGAGTTTGGGGAAGGTATAGCAAGAGAGGCACAAAATGTAATTAATGCTTTTAAGAGATGGCACAGAGTAAGGGTGGGTACAGGGCAGACTTCTACAGTGGCATAGGTCTGAGGTGGTAGTGGCTCAGTCTTTAGAGAAGTAGAATTGGATCTCAACAAGTGAAAAGTTCTCTTGGCATAGAGAGAGACACAGCTTTGGGTGAATCATCTGCTCGGGTGTCATGCCTTACCCCGACTGCCTAGGGCCCAGAAGGGTTGAGTTAACCTTGGAGGAACTTCTAGGAGGTAGGAGTTCATTGCTATAAGAACTGGGTGCTCTTAAGAGAGCCAGGGCCCATTGTCCTAGCTAGCATCGCTGTGTGTACCTATCTGTATGTTCTACCCCCAGTCAGTGGAAGCCCGATGAGGAGGCTGGCCCCCAAGCCTGGCCCCCCAAGGAACGGGCAGCCCTTCAAGAGGAGCTTAGTGATGTCCTCATCTACCTGGTAGCATTAGCAGCCCGCTGCCGTGTGGATCTGCCCCAAGCAGTCCTTGCCAAGATGGACATCAACCGGCGACGTTACCCAGTACATCTGTCCCGCGGCTCTGCCCGCAAGTATACAGACTTGCCCCATGGGGTCACCTCCAAAGACCAGGCTGTGAGGCCTGCAGACCTTACCTGTGAGCCTACGGGCCAAGCCTCAACCTAGAACATGGGCACAGAACCTGAACTCAGCATGGCATCTGAGGAGCAGAGGGTGGCCCGGCCGTGGAAGCTCTTCTAATCCTTTCCTAACTGATCATGGGTCTGGCAGCCCCACTTCCAGAGGTCTCAGGCCCAGAAATCTCCAGAAGACAGCTTCATTTTCTCTCTCAATAAAACAGTTTTGGTTAGCAATTTCCAGATTCTTCCTGGAGTGGTGGGGGGCAGGGAGGGGGAGGCTGTGTCCCAGAAGGTGCCAAAGAGGGGTGCCTTTGGGTTCAACTCCTGTGTATATTGTACCTTCTTCCTTTGGGGCAGAGAAATTTGAGTTCTAGCAATTCACTGTGAGATTTCCTGCAAGGTCCTTTCCTATTCAGGCTTCTAAAGGAGTTTGGAGGCTATGTGTAGTGCTGGTTAAGAATCCACATTTTGGGGCCTCCCCTGGTGGCACAGCAGTTGAGTGCTAGGTGCGAGGCTGCCCGCAGCCTCTGCAGCGCCAGTTCGATCCCCGGCCACTGGCGAGGGTCCCACAAAAAAAAAAAAAAGAATCCACATTCTGGAGCTAGCATTTCTGGGTTCGAGTACCATTAGTGATACTTAGCTGGATGGTGTTGTTCAAATCACTTCTGCACTTCAGCTTGCTCATATGTAAAATAAATAGTATCTGGGCCTCCCCGGTGGCGCAGCGGTTGAGTGCTGGGTTGCGAAGCTCCCCGCGGCCTCTGCGGCGCCGGTTCGATCCCCAGCTGCTCCCCGGCCACCGGAGGAGGGTCCCGCGTGGCACGCAGACCTCCCCTGCCGCCCGCTGCTCCCCTCAGCATGTACTTCGGTCCTTCTGCCTGCTCTGCTCCCCGCTCTGGCTCTGGTGAATTCTCTCACCCTCCCGCGCTTCTGACTGTACCCAGTGCTTGTATGAATAAATAAATAAATCTTAAAAAAAAAAATTAAAAATAAATTTAAAAAAAAAAATAAAATAAAATAAAATAAATAGTATCTACCTGATAGGGTTGTAAGGTTTAAGTGAGCTATTATAAGAAGAATGCTTAGCACAGGGCCTGGCACTTAATAGGTACTATGTAAGCTTGCTGCTGTTACTGCCAGTTTGCCTTTCAACTCAGAAATTCTAAGGGTTCAGAGCAGGAAACAACAGTTAAGCCAGACCTGGGACCTAGAACTCAGCCTTAGACCCTGGGTCCCCAGCACTGAGAGCCCTCAGCCCCTCTTCCCAGCACCTAACACAAACTGGGGTCACGTGTCTGATATGGAGAACAGGGCTTCCTCTCTTCTTGCATTTGGGCCCTTAGACTCCTCCCCCACCCTCCCAAGGCCAATTTCTTATTCCACCTGTACACTCAAAGATAGTGTTGGGTGTATATGATTTACCTTTACTTTACCTCCCTTCTTGGATAAGGGGCCTGCCTCTCTCACAGGGTGGGGTAGTGCAGGGGAAAAGACCATTTAGACTACTTTTACTGCCCCTCTAAGCCTGTTTCATCATTAGTAAAATGAGGCATTCCCCTTTACTGACCTTATTCCTCCTAACCAGTGATCTCTCTTTCTAGGTAAAACAGTCCAGATTGGAACTGCTTCAGCTTTATATTCCCAAACCCACCTTTTTTCTCCCTGCCAGTGACAGGGCCTGATTTCATTTCCCTTTCCTTGATCACTAATCTCCCCTCTGTCGAATCAACTTCTCTTTCCAGTAGCCCTTCCCACCAGCCTCATACTCTCACAGCCAAGCCTCTTGAAGAAGAGATGTTTCAGTCATCCACTCTGCTTCCCCCTCCTCCCAGTTATACCCTAGTCCACTCAAGGCTGACTCTCACCCCAGCCCTCCACTGAAACTACTTTGCACTTTCCCCAAACAGTGGACACCAGAGCGGCATCTGACTGAGCAAGACAGTTCTAGTTTTCTTCCGACCTCTGTTCTTTCACAGATACCCTTCTTGGGTATCCTCTTCAGGACATGGCATCTTGCACCATAAAGCTCATCCCCAAGCTCTTTTGAGTCACTCCCTAGCCCCCCATCCACCTCCCACCCAGATTGGGGTGTAACCACTGCCCCCACTTCAATTCCTGCCCTGCTCATGCAGTGCCCCCGTTTCAGTGTCACTGCCTAAGAAATGAAGACAGCCCCATCTCATTTCCCTGTCGCCAGGTCCACTCTTAACACCTATGGCTTCTAGCTCCTACTGTCAAGTCTACCCTTCCCCTTCCAGTCTGCCAAGGTTTCTTTGCTGCTTTGGATCCTTTAGCCTTGCTTCCAAAGTCCCTAGTGGTTTATTTCCTGCCCACCACCATCCTCCCCGCCCCCCATTTCTATCCTCCAGTGGGTCTGCAAGCTCTACTAAGTCTGACAGACAGTTTCAGGGGCTCTCTCCATACTGTCCCTGTCTTGATCTTAAAGATCAGCTCAAGCACCTCTTCTGAGAAGAACCTGTAAATGCCATGATTGCTTTAAAGAACTACCCAACAGCTCCCCTCCGCCCCCCTATGGCTCAGGGACAAGACTGCAATGGCCTTTTACTTGCACCTGCTCTGCCATTCACTAGCTGTCAAAACCTACTTTTCTGCAAAAATGGAGACCAAAGATAGACATGCTTTACGGGTACTTTGGGGATAAAAATGAGCCGATCACTTGAAGCTTCTGTGAAGCTGCTATGAAGCTTCTACTAGAGCTGCTTCACTATGCTGAGCTCCTTGAGGTCCATCCTACCCACCCAAGCGCTTCAGAAAGCAGTGGCTTCTTAATCACAAACATGCTCTATTGACAGACCCTTCCGGGTGCGAGGTAGCAAGGACATGGACCACCGCAGAGTGAGGGAGGCTGCACACACACACGCAGTTCCCGGAACCCCTTAGACTTACAGCCCCGTTGGCTCCACGGTTCACTCAGGTCACCTAAGCCTGGGGGATACTTTCCTCCTCTCCCCACCCACCTCACTCACAGGCACGGGTGGGGTGAGGATATAATACTTTATTCACTATCACGGGCTGAGGGGCTGCAGTTGGGGGTGAGGTTTGCCAGGACGCGATTGGGGAGCTCCCTGTTCCAGCCCAGCCTGCCATCCCACCCTACCGCAGACCCAGCAGAACGGGGGTGAACCGTCCAGGCTACGCAGCCCCAGGTCGGGGTCTTGGCCGGCCCCTCGCAGCCACATGGCGACAAAAAACGGCGGCTCAGGTGCCCTCGCACTCCGGGCAGCGCTCGGTGGCAGTGGCGGCCGTGGCGCCAGGGGGAGCTTGAAGTCCCGGCCGCAGCCCGCACAGATATAGAGGCGGCGCCGCATGTGCGCGCGGCGGTGGCGGATGAAGTGCGAGCTGAGGCGGAAGCGTCGGCCGCACTCGGCGCACGGATAGGGTCGCTCGCCCGTGTGCGTGCGCGCATGCTCCGCCAGGTTGGAGCGGTGGCCGAAGCGCCGGCCGCACACGGCGCAGCGGTGAGGCTTCTCGCCCGTGTGCACACGTCGGTGCTTGGCCAGCGCCGAGCTCTGAGCGAAGCGCGTGCCGCAGTCGGCGCATGCGTACGGCCGCTCGCCCGTGTGCGTGCGTCGGTGGCGCGCCAGGCACGAACTGCCGCCGAAGGCGCGTCCGCAGTCCGGGCACGCGTACGGCTTCTCGCCCGTGTGCACGCGCAGGTGCTGTGCGTAGTTGGAGCTCTGCGCGAAGCGGCGCCCGCAGTGCGCGCATGCGTACGGCTTCTCGCCAGTGTGGCGCCGCCGGTGTTGCCGCAGGTTCGAGGCGGCCGAGAAGCGCTTGTCGCACTCGGGGCACTCGTAGGGCCGCTCGCCCGTGTGCGTGCGGCCGTGTTTGGTCAGCGCTGACTTCTGCGAGAAGCGCCGGCCGCACTCGGTGCACGCGAAGGGCCGCTCGCCCGTGTGCGTGCGTGCGTGCTTGGCCAGCGTGGAGCGGCGCGCGAAGGCGCGGCCGCAGTCCGGGCACGCGTGTGGGCGCGCCGGGTCGGCCGACGGCGCTGGCGCCTCGCTCGGGACCTGCGGGGAGAGGGGCACAGGTCAGCCCTGACCGCTAGGCCCCGGCCCCCGGTCTCTGGGTCTGCGCAAGCCGCAACCTGAGTACCCCCGTTTGTAAGATAGAAAAAAACAAAAGTGCCTGCCTCCTCCTCGTGTGCGCATTAGAAACGATACAGTGATGCAAATACCACAATGCCTAGTGTCATTCTAGCTATTCTTTATTAATCCAACAAATACTCATGGAGCACGTACACGGGGCCGGACTCTGTTCTAGCCGCTGGGTCATTCAGCCTTGTTTTAAATTTAAATTCCTGTTCTCAGGAAGACTGGATGAAGAAAAATGATAGGGGGGGTGGCTTTAAATTCAAATAGAATTAAGAAACCTTACTGATAAAAGATAAGCAAACACCTAAAGGCGCTTAAGACTGGCTACTGAGGGGCAGCAAGACCCTGAGGCAGGAGTTGGCCTGTTGAGTTTCGGGGATGCAAAGTGCCCAGTGCAGAATGCACAGGCGAGCATAATCCGTGAAGTGACAGTATGAATGAGATAGGGAACCCTCTGAGGAGTGTTAGCTGTTTGGGGGCAAGATCAGACTCAGTTAAAAAGGCTCCCTCAGGTTGCCGAGGTGGAGAATAGAAGCAGGAGACAGGGAGGAAGCTCCCTTACTGCTGTGGCCTGGCAAGAGAAGACAGTGACTCAGACCCAGGTGAGGAGGTGGAAAGTGAAAGTGGTGAGAAGTGGTCTGCTACTGGATATATTTTGCATTTTGAGACAACAAATTCAACAAAAATTAGATGTGAGGTATAAAGAAAAGAGGAATGACTCGTAGGACTTTGAGCTCAGCAACTGCAAGGGTTGCCATCTACACAGAGAGTATGGTGGCAGGAGCAACTTGGTAGATGAGATGTTTTGTATGGTATCTCCAATTCTGGATATATCTGGAGCTCAGGAAGGAGGCCTAGGCCAGAGATGTTAATTGGGAAGCTTGGAGATAGATGGTTTTTAAAGCCTTGAGAATGGATGAGGGCACTTGGAATGGGCAGAGAGAACCTGGGGCAGCAAGATGCAGAGTGGCCCGCGAAGGAGACTGAACAGGAAGAGCCAGTGAGGTAGGAGCACCAGGAGAGCATGGGTTCTTAGAAGCCAGGCCAGGACCAAGTTCCAGGCTCTCTAAAAGACTTAAGAGCAAATACCTTTTTAAATTTTTTTTTTTATTTTTATTTTTTAAGTGAAGAAGGCAAGGGTATAATCTCAATACTATTCTGAGGCTTGAAATGAAAAATTTTTTAAATGAGTCAATATCATGAGGTCTGGGCCTCTAGAGAGAAAATTAGAAAAAGAAAAGCTTTTTAAGAAATAGGTAAAGAGAAAACATTTTGTACTAACAGAGCATTAAGAGGAATATTGAAAGCACATTGCTCCCATCTTAGAAAAGAGAATCTCATCCCAGCAAATGTGGACCAAGAAACTAGGCACATTAATTTACCAAATGAAAGGAAACAGGTAGAGGTGGTGACAGCCAGGGAGCAATAAGTCCTTTTCTTTCTGAAGTTGCAAGGCCTTCAAGACCCTTTGTAAAAAGGCAGCAGCTTTTGGATAACCAACTCAGAAACAGAAAACAAGGTGGTCTGGGAAATTAGTGACTAGTCACATATATATCTCATATATATATATCATATTTATGTGATAATAGTGATAACATTGCTATGTAAAGCTTTGATTATGTTGTTTTATCTACATCATTGTATAAAATCTTCCTGTTACTTCTTTAAGTCAGGAGTGAAAAAAAAAAAAATCAAGGCTCAGGGAGATTAAATTCACAGTCAGTAGGAGTCAGGACTGACTCTAGAGCCCTTAACCAGTAGACTTCCCTGTGCTCATGTGGCCAAGACTTGACAGAGGCTGGACTCCAAGTCCCCAGCTCCCTCCTTCAAGGTGAAAATGCAACCTGATACTTTAAATTGAGAAACTCCACACAGTAGGCTTGGCACAATCTAAATTCAAGGTCATATTTTCCAGTCGTGCTCTGGTTTTTGACATCTATCAGGTTGATTTCAACACAACAGTCATTGTGGAGAGAACTTTTTTCATTATAGCTACATTTTCTGGTCTGTTTTCCCTTGGCACCATTCTTTAAGGTGACTTTAGCAGCCTCAGGAAGTCCTTAGGCTTCCTAAGAAAGAAATTCTTCACACGTGTCTCTTTAGTATCTCCAGCTCCAGGAGAGGGGGACTTGGGTGCCCCAGGAAGAATCTTGGTAAGACGGGCCAAGGCGAGCTCATTAACACTGCAGGCAAGTCACTCCCTTTCCTGCCTCAGTGCTCCAAGGAAGGTGAGATCACCTAGGTGAAGTCAAAACTTCCCAACTGGAGGGACGCACACTACAGGATGCAAGAGGATTCTGGGTGTTATGTAGGCAAACTTTGTCTTATTATAATCATTATTTATTTTCACAGATATTAGAAAAACAATGGATTCCATGAAACTCACAATTTCATCAATATTGTTGTTTAAATGAAGGTAAATTTATTTAACAGAACAATGTGAATCTATCTGAAGAAAAGCATTAAATATATGAGCACAACAGGTGAGTAATACACGTTACTAAAGCTTGGCAAATACCAGACAGAGGTGATTGTAAAAAGCTCTATTTGTCTTAAATCCTACAACTATTAGAAGTCAGAATAAATGGTATTTGCATAGAACCCTATAACAAGAAGCACTATGGGGATATAATGTAGTATAATAATATTTTTAAATAAAACTACCGTTGATTAAGCATGCGCTATGTGCCAGGAACAATAGTTTTTTTTTACTCATGTTTTCATTGTAAATTCTCACAACCCTTTGGATTAGGTATCATTAGTTCTGTTTTATAAAAAAAGATTTAAGATTCAGAAGTAAGGTTGCTGACTACCCAATGTCATCAGCTAATCAACCGCAGAGTTTGAACTGGACATCTGTCATTGTCCAAAACGCCTATCCCTTAGCCATGATGCAGTTATATCTTGCTGACATGTTTGAGGTCACCTGTGCAGCTTGTCTCGCTCCCCTTGACTCTCAAAAATCAGAATCTATCTTCTTATTGGTATAAAGTATAAAATCGATCCCTGTGCTCTAGCTCCCCCACAATGGAAGTGTGGGCCACAGACCAACACTAGCATCTGTGGGAACTTGTTAGATATGCAGTCTCAAGTCCCATCCCAGACCTACTGCATCAAAACCTTCACTTTAACAAGATCCCAGGTGATTTGTATGCATGTAAAAATTAAGAAACTTGATCTAGAAGAGAGAAGCTACTGTAGGGGAAAGCAGGTGGAAAAGGGCAAGAGGGCTAAGTAGGCTGAGAGATCACATGGGCAAAGTCTTAGAGGTAAGAAAGGGTCAGTTCTGTTTGAAGCTGGGAAATGGGATGGATCTTGATTGATTAGACATGAAACCAGGACATGAGGTCAATGGTAAAGAGCTTTGAATGCCAGACTTAGAAGCTGAGACTTTATCCTGAGGGAAATAGGAAACCACTCAAGGGTTTAAGCAGGGAGAGACAGAACTGGATGTGCAGAGAGCCCTGAGAAAATCTGTTCTATTCATTAAAGATAGATTGGATTGTGATAGGCAGAGAAAGAATACCCCAGCCCCTGAGTGCAGCATAATTAAGGCCTGTTCTGGACAATGACTTAGCATAGAACTAGGTGACAGCTAAGAGTCACAGAGTGTCAGCACTGGAAGGCGCTTTCAAGATCACTGTTTCACAGATAGAAAAACTGACACCCAGTGGGACCACACAGCAAATCAGTGAGCTATCTTATGGGCATAGTGTAAATGTCCTTGGGATGTGTGCATGGATGTGTCAATGCCACCCTCCTCCTTGGATGATCCTTCTCTGACTGGCATTCAAGGATCTTATTTTCATTATCCCATTTTACAGATGAGAAAGCCACGGCAAAGCTGGTGAATGGTAGAGTTAGGATTTGAACCAATGTTTTTAATTGCCACATGATGCCATTTACAGTCTAGTCCTCATACCTTTCATGACTAGCTATGCCTAGCTCCCCCAACACCGTGATTAGCTCCAACCAGTCCAACCAGGTATCCCCTCCTCTCAGCTTCTCTCCACTGCACTGCTGTCCCTACCTTGGAGCAAGTTACCTGGCCTGGTCTCTCCACAGTAGTTAATGATTCTTCTAAATTGAAAATACAAACATGTCCTTCCTCTGATTTAAGGCTTCTGATGGCACCACATAACCTAACTCAGTATGTCCTATGCTGGCTTTCAACACCTTTTACTTGATGGCGCCACCCACTTCTCTTGCCTCATATCTGAGCCTTTGCCTTTGCAGTCTCCTCCTGGAATGCCCTTCCTCCTCCTCCACTTGCCAAATCAAAGTCTGTTGCACTAAACTTTCAAGACCCAAATCAAAAGGTATCTTGTAAAGCTTTCCCCAAGACTTGTTTGCTCTCAATCACCTGTCAAGAGCCACCATGTTGGTCTCCCTGTTCAATTCCAGGCCCAGAATGGTCTTTGATAAAAGTGAGTTGAAAAATATCTGGAAGGATGACCTTTTTGAACTTCAGGAAGATGAATGAATAATAGCAGATATTTACATAGTATTTATTATGTGCCAGACAGTTCTTTACATGTGTTAACATATTAATCCTCACAACTCCAAGAAGTAGGTGCTATTATGATTTCCCTTTTACAAGTAAAGAAACTGAGGCACAAAGAGGTTAAACTTCCCAAAAGTCACAAAGCAGGTAAGTGAAGGAGTTGGAAGTCTACCCTAAGCTCTGGAATCTCAGTTCTTAATTTATAGGTCAAAGGTGGAGATCCACAGGGCCAGGAGAGCAAGGCTGAGCTAGGATGATGGGCTAAAGAAGCCTGAGAGAAACAACTGTAATAGTTATTTTGACTGGAAGAATTTGTCAAAGCATCCAGCCCCCTCAGTTAGGGCCCACGATACCCACTAGGGGGCAGCAGAACGTTCGCTGGCCCCTGTGCAGGAAGAAATCAGGTACCCTGGGCCCAGAAACCTGGCACAGCTGGAGGTTGAAATTAGGACTGCTTTGGCTGGGGATGGGCATCCTGTAGGACTCTGGGAAGTGGAAATATACCTGGTGATAGTTAGGGTCTTGAGTGGGTAAATAAAACTCATTCTGATCTCCACAAAATGCCTCTCTGTGAACCTTCTGCACCCTCAGGGTAAAACCCAGATGTTCTACCTGGCCTCCAAAACATACACTATTCTCACCGAGGTTACAACATGACTGAATCATGTGCCCTCACTCCTCCCAGTGCCCCACTCACTCCTCTGGGCCACTAAAAAGGCCATTCTTCCCCTCAGATTCCTACTAGTCTCGACAAACCATCCTTTTAGTAACTTGAGACCACAGGCCAGTTTTCACTGTCCAGTTTCCCCACCTGTAAAATGGAACAAATACTATCACTATCAAAGAACTGAGGTGCTTAGATCAGCGTCTGGCACACATTAAATGCTATGCAAAGTCAGCTGTTGCTGTTGCCTGACATGACCCCCCCCCCACTGCCCCACACCAACCCCCAAGTATGCATTAAGTTCCCATATCTGGGCTCCCACACCCCCTTGTGTCTGCAGTCACACCAGAATAACTGCTGGTACTTGTCAGTCTAACCCCACTAGACAGCAAACTCCACGAGGAACCAAGGACAGTGTTACTCTCCAGCATTCACACAGCAGGCGTGACATCTGTATGATGGCAGCATTGACAGTAGGGCAGAAGGATGGGTGGCCAACTGTGGGATTTCGGGAAAAGTAGGGGCAGGATCTCTGGCTTCTGTCTGAGGAAGGTCGGACCTGGTCCACGATTAGGAGCAAAGGGGCCCAGGGTGCGGGACACGTACCTCCTTGCTGTCCATGGGGATCTTGAGTTTCACTACCTCATATTTCTCCTCACCCTCATCTTCCTCACCCTTCACCAGCAGCACCATCTCCTCTTGCATCTCTTCCTCCTCCTCCTCCTCCTCTGTCTGCTGTTCGCCAGGCATCTTGGTGTCCTGGGGCGGGGAGCTGGGTCAGAAGCTCAGGACCCGCCCCCATCACTATGGCCCTGGCCCAGGCGAGGCGGTGCAGCCCTGGCTTCTCCCGCCCGGCCCTGGTCTCTGGGTCGGGCCCTCTCCCCTCCACCCTGGCCCGGCCCCACCCCCAGCACTGCCCCGGGTCCAGCTCCGAGAACACTAGTTCACCCCGCTCGTCCCGGCATTCAAGGCCTTGAACAGTTCGAATCTCCAGCCCCGGCAAGTCGCCACCCTCCCCGCGCTGAGTCACTCCTCGGCGCCCAGATCTGCGGCCCCGAGCTCTAGGTCACGGGCTGGACGCGGGAGCGGGGCGGAGACCCTGGGGGGTGCGCACTCACCGGCCGCAGGTTCGGCGCTCGCGCTGCCCCAGGCCAGGGCGCCGGGCGGTTGGGCACTCAGAGGCCGCGGCTCAGGGGGCGGGGCGGGCGGGGCCTGGGAGGCGAGCGGCCATTGGCCAGGATTCCTGGTGCCGCCCCTGGGGGCGGGGCCCAGGGAACCCAGGCGTCCGGCCGCGACTGCAGTGGGCGGGTGGCCACCCCCGGACCCGCGCCCTGCGCGGCCCTCCGGCTCCCGGGGGCCCCAAGCCGTCCCGTGCCGGCGTTGCAGGTCCTCGCAGCTCAGTTGTAACCTACCTTCCAGGCTCGCCTCCTGTGACTGACTCGGAGATCTCCGCTGCTGCCAAGCGCGTCTGCTCCGCCCGAAATAGGCCACGTGCGCTCCCGCCCCGGCCTGGGCCTCTCGCGGGCGCCCCGCCTGGAGGGCGGACCCTGCTGCCTCTCCTCACCCCTGCCCGTCTCATTTTTCATCCTCTCCCGTCTTTTCTCCTTTCCTGGTGTCGCCCTCCTGGTGGCCTGGTCTCTGGGATAGCTTGCTCCTTGAATACATACTTAGCAAATCAGCTGCTGCTTGCTGGGCGGTGTGCCTACTCTGAGCCAGCGTTTTACTAAAGCGTCTTTACACACTTTATCACTCTTTTTTTTTTTTTCTTTTAAGACTAGTCAAGAGCGGTAGTGAGGAGGGGAAAAGAGTTGAGTAAGGAGTTTGATCTGTAACGGATGGAACAATTGATATAACTCACTACCTTCCGACCAACTTTTATCTCCTTTGATCTGCACAAAGGTGGATACATTTTACAAATGAGCTAACTGAAGTTCGGAGGTAAACTGATTTGCCTAAGTTAACAACGTAAGAGTTGTCACAGCATCCTGACAAGTAGTAGCCCAGATGGAGAATTACCCAGTGACCCTATCCAGCCCACAGAACTACCTTGCGCGGCCCTCAGGGTGTTTTTTCTTTCAAAAATTAGTTTGGGCAGTGGGGGGATGGGGAGACAAAATAAATAAAAATTAGTCTGATAAAAAGGGCACTCTTACAAACTGTAGTTTTCAGCATTTAAACGTTGAAATATTTCATATAAAATCTATTTCCCACGTCTTGAAAAAGTTATCTAATTCTATTGAATGGGCAATTAAGATTCAGATATGATGAAAGAAAAGCGAAATATACATTGCTTATAATTCCCTACCTTCTCTTTAGTACAGTCCTGTGGGGATCAATAATATTATCTCCTTTTGATAAATGAGAAAATTAAATCTTAGTTGAATTTGTTCAAAGTCATATCACCACAAGAAGCATGCTCTTTCTGTTATCCCAAATCTCTCTCAGAAATGAGGTTACATGAGGAAACATGTGGTAGGACCAGGACTCTGAACATCAGTTCACAGAGCCTAGGGCATAATTCAGATCCTTTGATTAAATCTGGTCAAACTTATGCTCTTCTTGGGAAAAGGGGACAAATACCTAGATACGCACATTCAAGATCCCCAAAAGCCACTTTGCGTGTGTTCATCCGCTCATCTAGTATTTACTGGGTCCTGTTATGTGCCTGGCACCATCCTAAGTTTTGGGTATGCAGTAGTGAACAAAACAAAAATCTTGGGTGCTATTGCACCTCTAAGGTTGTAAAACATATAAGCAAGTAAACAAGATAATTTCAGATAGTAAACGTCCAGGAAGGAAACAGGGCAAGATGATGCAGCAGCCAGTGGCTATGGTTGGGGGCAGGGAGGGCACCTTTGAGGAAATAATGTTTGAGATGAAACTTGAATGGCGAGAAAGCGTTAGCCATTTGAAAATCTGAAAGAAGAGTATTCTAGATCGAACTCTAGACATCTTAAGGTGAGAATAAGCTTGAGGAACAGAAGGAAGACTGTGATAAGTGCAGTGAGGTGACAAGGAGAAATGTAGTATGTGAGGTGGTGGAGAGGTAGGCAGGGACCAGATTATGGTTGGAAACCCAACTCTAGCAAAAGGTAAGAACTGGGGGCCTCCCTGGTGGCCTAGGGGTTAAGTCTTAGCACTGTTACCACTGTGGCCTGAGTTTAATCCTTGGCCAAGGAGCTGACCCACATGGCGCAATAGACCTGTCTCACCCATTGCTCCCCTCGGCAGAGTATTTCAATAGATCCGCCTATTCTGGTCCCCACTCTGTCTCTGGTGAATCCTCTCACACCCTGCACCTTTGGCCTACATCCCAGTTCTTCTATGCCTAAATAATTTTTTTTTAAAGGCAAATCTGCTTGTCTTGACTCAGAGAACCAGTAAAGAGGCTCAACTGGGAGCAGTGAAAGACCCTACTGGTAGGATTTCTTGCTGTGGGAGGACTCTGCAACAGGTGCTTGGAAAACAACTCTGTCCATTTGTTCTATAAACAGGTACCTACCTGGAATCAGGTCTAGTTCCTGTTCTTGAGTAAAGAAGACTATGAACAATATATGACTAGATATAAACATGAAATATAAATCAATATATGAAAGAAATAGGTGTTCTGACAGAAAAATAAGAGTAGAATGAGTGAGTAACTCCCTTGAAGGATATGGATATTGGGTGCAAGCGGTACTGAGGAGGTAAATGTGAAAGGCATTCAAAGTGGAAGTTTGCCAGATTTGCGAGGTGGTAGCATCCTGTGGGATTGTAAATTCTTGTGAAGAGCACATGGTGTTACAAGGACACTGTACACAAATGCATCTAGTCAGGCCTATTGTATGCCAGGTTCCCATAGAAATGGAAGGAAGAAAATTGAATTTGGAAGTCTTTGTATCTTAGTCCTCATTATTCTGCATTTCACTAGTTGCCTTCACCTTACCTCTTCCCATCCCCACCTGCTCCCTTTCTTAGTTTACTCCAAGTCCCTCTTTTTTTTTTTTTTTTTTTAAAGATTTATTTACTTATGCATAAAGAGCTGGGCCAGAGGTGTGGGAGGGTGAGAGGATTCACCAGAGACAGTGTGGGGAGCAGAACAGGCAGATCCACTAAAATACACTGCTGAGGGGAGCAGCAGGCAAGACAGGAGAGGTCTGCTGTACCATGTGGGTTAGTGCCCTGGCTGGAGATCAAACTTGTGCTTCAGTGGCTGCCTATTGCTTGATAGTGCTGAGACATAACCCTTTGTGCCACAAGGGAGGCCCTCCAAGTCCCTCTTTTAGTTGCAATTGTTTCTTCTTTGGAGAGGTCTTTGGATCATATAGGATTCACTCTTGCATCAATGTTTCCTTCATATCCTCATTACACTTGTAATTATTTGTTTAATGTCTATCTTGCCAATGGAAACTATGGGCAGACCCTGTCTTACTCATCCTGTGCTCTCCCCAATACCTAGCACACAGCAGCTCTTGATGTGTTAAGTGTTCAGATGAAGGGGATTCTAACTCAGACTGGAGGTTCAGGGAGGAAGTAAAATTTGAGTTATTTTGATAGGAGAGATTAACAAATGCGTTAATCTCCATTCTTTTACATATAAGTAAAGGAAACAACATTTAAGAGGCACAGGTCTGAAAACACAAGTGGAAGGCCTTGAATGCCAACCAAGGTGTTGAGCTTTACAGAGAAGACAAGCAGAGATCCTGCAGTTTTTAATAGGGAGTGACATGGTCAGTTCAGTGCTAGCCTGCTTGAAGACCTTTTAGAGGGGGAAGACATGAAAAGCAGCAAGGAGCACCCTCCTCCCCACACACCCCCGGCCCCTGTACTGAAGGCAAAATTCTAGGATTCCGTGTATAACTGGGCAGCATGAAGGATGGAGGGGACCACGCTGCAGCAAGCTTTCATTGGTTTCCAGGGAAACTGGAGCCAAGGGCTAAGGCCTCGCGGGAGTTTTTCTCCAAGGAGGCAGAGTAGCTGTCAAGCTCGACCAGCGAAGTTGCAAAGCAACCAAAGTAATCTTGTACTTCATTGCTTAGATGAGTGAACCGCCCTAGTCTTTTTTGTCCCTGGCCAATCAATCAGTACCTTTTTCCCCCTTACTCCCTGCGGGCCTCCTAAAAAAAATGCTGGGGGGCCTCCCCGGTGGCTCAGCGGTTGAGCGCTGGGTTGCGAAGCTGCCCGCAGCCTCTGCAGTGCCAGTTCGATCCCCGGCTGCTCCCCAGCCCCCGGAGGAGGGTCCCACATGGCGCGCAGACCTCTCCTGCCGCCCGCTGCTCCCCTCAGCAGTGTACTTTGGTCCTTCTGCCTGCTCTGCTCCCCGCTCTGGCTCTGGTGAATTCTCTCACCCTCCTGCACTTCTGACTGTACCCAGTGCATGTATAAACAAAACAAACAAATAAATAAATAAATAATGCCTCTATTAAAAAAAATAAAATAAATAAATAAATAAATAAATAAAATGCTGGGAGTTGGAGTTCCCCTCCTGATGACAAAAAGTTTGCTGGGAAAGAGGACGGACTTTTCCAGTGGAGCCACCTCCCCTTTACCTCCTTTTGGGCAGTGCAGCCAAAAGACCGGATTCTCAGTAAGTCGCAGGAGGTCACAATTCACTCAGTACCTGTCGCCACAGCAAAAACTTTCACTGACATACCCCCTCCCCACTCCTGCCGTCCAGCCCAACCAACAGCCTGGCGAGCTTTTCCTTTTATGGGTTGAGCTGGATACTGAGGCATAGGTGGCGCCTGTGGGCTTCAGTTGACTGACTTGACAGTTGTTTTTAAACCAGATGTCAGCATTAGAAAGCGTCTAAGTCAAGCCAACGTTCAAAGAGGAAAGGGGCCTACACAAGTTTACACATGGCTTGTGAACCTTCTACACCTTTTTCACCCCTTGCCAGGCACACACACACACAGACATACACAGAGTCTAAGCCTCAGACAAGAAGCAGTTTATTGGCTAGGAGCTACATGGAGATGTGGCTGTTGGGCCTTGGTGCTTCCCTACTTCTCCCAGCCTGTTTGTCGCTCACGTCCATCAGAAGGCCCTGGGCTTGGCAACCAGCATGGATGCCTTGAGCATTCCTTCAGTCTCTAGTCTGCCAGTGTCCAGATGTCAGGGTGGGTGGGGGTCAAAGGCAGAGCGGTGTGGGCTGTTCAGGAGTGCCTTTCCTGGCCGTGTCTAGT